GTGGGAAGGGGAAATAAGATCTAGGATATCTTTAGGGTACGCCTCACAAACACTCCTAGGCCTGTCCTACTTGCCTCTGAAGGTTCATAAGAGAATCAAGGTGTTTCCATAGACTGCTCACTGTTTTTTCAATTGGTTACTGAAATTTTAGGGCTTCCTAAGCTTTCTTGCTTCTGAGTTACCTGGCCTATTATTCAAAATATTATTTAAAGGCCGGGCGCGGTGGCTCATGCCTGTAATCCTAGCACTCTGGGAGGCCGAGGCGGGCGGATTCCTCAAGGTCAGGAGTTCGAAACCAGCCTGAGCAAGAGCAAGACCCCGTCTCTACTATAAATAGAAAGAAATTAATTGGCCAACTAATATATATAGAAAAAATTAGCCGGGCAAGGTGGCGCATGCCTGTAGTCCCAGCTACTTGGGAGGCTGAGGCAGCAGGATTGCTTGGGCCCAGGAGTTTGAGGTTGCTGTGAGCTAGGCCGATGCCACGGCACTCACTCTAGCCTGGGCAACAGAGTGAGACTCTGTCTTAAAAATATATATATATTATTTAAGACCATTCAATTGAAGCCATCACCTGACTTATTTTTAAATGAGAGATAGTTTCTCACTATCCATGGGAGACTGGTTCCAGGACTTCCCATGAATACCAGTATCCAAGGATGTTCAAGACCCTTATATTGATCACTTAATAACAATTTGATGGTGAGTACATGTGGTGCCTGTTTTTCCATTCTTGGGATACTTCACTTAGTAGAATGTAAGTGTACATATAGTAATAACATTCATCGGGTGCTGGGCAGATGGGAGGATGAGGGAGGGGATGGGTAGGTACACACCTAATTGGTGTGGCACACACCATCTGGGGGATGGACACGCTTGAAGCTCTGACTAGGGTGGGGCAAGGGCAATAGAGGTAACCTAAATATTTTTACTCCTGTAATATGCTGAAATAAAAACAAAAATTTTTTTAAGACCCTTGTATTAAATGGTGTAGTAGTTGCATATAACCTGTGCCCATCCTCCCACATACTTTAAATCATCTCTAGGTACTTACAAACCTAACATAATGTGAATGTGTTGTAAATAGTTGCTATGTACTATATCATTTTCTAATTTGCATTTTTGTCGTATTATTTTTTCTGGTGCTTTTTCCAAATATTTTTGATCCATGGTTGGTTGAATCCATGGATGTAGAACCCATGGATTCAGAGGGCCAACTGTATTTACAAGATTGTCTTTGATTTATAAGAAGAAAAACCAACATGTATATAAGTTAAGGAAATTACTAAATATAGCTAAACACCACCACCAGATCCAGAATCATGTGGTATTTGAAATGCATCCCCTGCGCAGCCAGGCTTCATTGCCTCTCTGCAAATGGACTGGAAAATGAAACCATTTCCAGAAAGCATACCTCCCTTTGTGTGAATTCCAACTTTCTGAGTTGAGCATTCCACTATGTAGACTAATATGAGTCAGATTTTTTAAAGCATACCAAATATCTCTTGAATCCCCTGGAACCTCTCAAGTTGTGGCAAAGTCTTCCTATCATGATGTATTGCCAGCTCTGGTAAACCAACGTAACTCTAAGGAGAGAATTCAGGAATGTCAGCTTCAGCGTCCTCTCCACGTCTTCCAGAGGACTCTCTGCCATCTCTGAGGTCACAGCTGGTGATACTCTAGAGTAAGATGGCAAAAGTATACTCGGAAAGCCAATGCTAAATGAAAAGAACTGTAACGCCTTTGTAGTTTATTCGTTTTGTCTTTGTCCTCAGCACAAAGAAAGACCAAGTCATCCAGGATGGTGCAATTGGGTCTCTGCTTTCACTGAAGCAAAGCCCAGGGGGGTTTTCTCTCTGCTCAGTCAGTGTTCCCACTTCCTCCTCAACTACGTCTACTCTGAATAGGGGACCAGCTGACTGTGGGTGAGGAGGAACTGGAAAGGCCACTGAGGACAGAAGGCCTGTGCTGCCTCAGTGGGAGTCTTGAGATCACAGAGCAGGCAGGCCTCAGCATATAAACTGGCACATTGGACAGCACAGCCCTTCTCACTTGAGCCTCGCAGCAACTCAGGGGACAGACTTGGTGCACACCCCAATTTATTCCTGAGGAAATGTAAATCCAAAGAGATGAAGTGACTGGGCTATGATTGGACATGCTGAATGCCAAGGATGGAACATAAATCCTATTGTTTTGGCTCCAAATTCTTTATGCTTGTTCTATGCCTCACAACCACCAATTTCTAAAAGCCCATTTCCTATTGTCTAGTTGAATCACACTCTTTTATAGGGCAGGAAGGAGGCACCAATGCAAAGTTGTTTAAAGTACTCCTCCCTCCCACAATGTATTAGCAGAAAAACAATTCATTCAAGGAATACTTAACTTACCAATCAAAATCTCTGCTTTTATGATGCTTACAAAGGGGACAGATAATAAAGTACACAAGTAAAGTACATAGAATGCTAGATGGTGATGGGAGCAATGGAGAAAAATGAAGCTCGGAAGGTCGATGGGGATGTTTTTCAGGGGAAAGGGCTAAGGGTCATGCCACTATCTGCAGGAAGAACATTCTAGGCATAGAGAAGAGTAAGTGCCAAGGTACTGATGTAGAAACATGTCTAGAATATTGGTGAAGCAGCAGGGAGGCTAGTAGTGATCAGGACAGAGAGTAGTAGGAGATGATTTCAGAGAGTATCAGGGAGCCCCATTGTGTAGAGACTTCTGGCTCATGTAAAGAATTTGGCTTCAATTCTAGGGGAGATGGAAAGTACTTGGACATTTTCTACAGAAGAATGACATGATTTGACTTGATATACTTTATTTAGAACAGTTATGTTTAGAATAGACTGAAAAGCAGAGAAAGCAGAAGCAGGAAGATTAATTAGAAAGTTATGGCAATGATCTAGTAGGAAGATAATGATGGTTTGGGCCAGGTGGTAGGATTGAAGGTAGGAGCTAGATTCTGGATATTTTGATAGAGCAAACAAAATATGCTGAAAAATAGGATATGGGGTGAATCACCACATGGGTGGGGAGGAAAGAGAGTTCACTGAGCAGGAAACCTGGAATTCTGAGTTGGAGTTCCAACTCCAACACACATTTACAGTGCTACCTGAAGAAAGTTACTGGAAGCTTGAAGGCTTTCCAGGTTTTCCATTTTTCACAGCTACAAAAATGGGATTAAATACCTTTCTGACCTCACATGGTTCAAATGCTTATGATGTCTGCGAATGTTGGTTTGTTTGGATTAAATCACAACTCTATGTGAACTTGTGCAAGTGAATTAGCCTGAGAAACTGAGGGGGTGGGATTGAGATCAAATTTGGAATACTTTGAGAACAAATACAAACATAAAAACATTATAGTTGTGAGTAAATAATTCAAGGAGCTTTATTTCAATATACCTTTTCTTGATAAGCTAGGAATAACTAGATAAAAAAGGTGGTTTACAAAAACTATTTTAATCAAAGCTTATGATTCCTAGTAGTAATATGGATTTTGTATTCTTTGAACCTAGATTCGTGAATTATCTAGTTAGTGATTGATGAATATCTACCAAAAACAAAACAAAACAACAAAAAAACCCCACCTCATCTTTAGTTTCAATTTAAGTTAAACACAAAGGGCTTCTTTTGTTTTCCTGTCTCTGAACAGTTTTACCATCACCATGGAATTTTTCTAAATTTTTACTTAAAAGAAACATGGGATTGAAGTGCCTGAAAAGTTTACAACTTTCCCAATTTTGGTAAATTATGCAAATCCTAAGCTACCTTTTTTTAATTCACAAATACAAAAAAAACACCCATAACTGAAAGTTCAAGATAAGTTCATCAGCCCCTTCCAGGGTGGAGAAGGCAGAAGTCATGAGGAGAAAGCCAGGTGGTGGTGTCCCACACTGATCCTCCTTCTCAGACAGGGGACATGCTCTGGACCACACCTTCCTTCTCTTCTCTTTATTTCTCAGTAAGCCTCCCAAGTCTTCCCCATCAAACATACCTATCCTAATCCAAGCCTTTCAATGTCCTAAAACATAGCTGGCAAGCCATTTAATAAGACAATTAAATTGAATTATTAGTGATGGATGAGGATTAGTTCTCTGTACTTCAAGGAGGAGCTCCCAGAAAGATAGTGGCTTAAAGTCCTGATTATATGGTAAAATGCTGAGGTACTGTGCAGACAGCTGTTTAGTAAGGAGTTTCCTTGAGAAAGACTCATGAAATCTTCTCATAAGGTGGTCTCCTTCTTTGCCTATACTTTAAGTTGTCAGCTTTTAATATTGTCCTTGAGACCATTTCAGTGGGTCCACATTATCAAAAAAGTTATTGTCATAATAACACCCAATACATTAGTTGCTTTTTTTCACTTTCATTCTCTCACAATTGTGCTGTGGAGTTTTCTGGAAGCTATATGATGCAGGATGCTGGCATCACTCTAACAGCTAATAGGTTGTATGCTTGTATATTTTTTTGTTTTTAATATTTCTAAATCTTAATTTTAAATATGGTAAATACCAACAGACATAATTCATGTTACAGAAAACCTCTTCAGTACCCTTAATAATGTTTTTAAATGGGTAAAGGGATCCTGAGACCAAGATGTTTGACCCACTGCATTAAGTTATCCTGCCTGATCAAGCACGATTCAGCTGTGGTAGGAGAAATACAGAAAAATACAGGGTGCTGATTTCTACTAAATTCAAAACTGTTGTGAGCTCATCAAAGGTTGGTATCTAAAAGCAAAACCAAAAGAACACATGTAAGGAATGCTCCAAAACTAATGGGGTCATGTCAAAAGGACGAAGGTGCCAACTTGAAGGAGCTCCTGCTGGCTAGATCAGGGATTCGTGATTTTGTGATTAGCCAGAAACATCAACTGAATCTTTTAGGGGCAGGAGATAGAGAGGAGAGGAGGTTTCACACACAGTAGGAAAATACAAGGATTATCATTCATTTCCACCTTTCCCAAGAGAATATCATAAACCAAATATTTAGATTTGACACTTTTAATTGTTCAGTATTTTGCTACAAATATAAGAAATAATACAGAATTAAATAACACACGAAATCTTACTAAATATATAAATATCCATTTCAACAATGAAAACAACTTACATTTGAATTCCTAGGTCACTGAATAGAGACTGACGAAGCAAAAGATACTGGAGAAGCAACTAATTTGGTCTCATGGTTATTTAAGATGCAACATTGTTCCACTAGTTGGACAATATCCTTAAAACAAAGGAACTATATGCTCATGTTTACGTCCTCTGCTATTGTGAAAAGTTAGCTCATGGAAAAAGAAACCAACAGAGACAAAGCATATAAATTGGCTGACTGCTATACAGGAAATCTCCTAAATGAATGTTTTCATAATATATTTTCATTATACTAGGCTGAATTCAGAATGACCTAAAATAGGGTTGGGTCATATTATAAGACAAAGGGACAGGGAAAACATGCTTTTATTTAAAAAAAAAAAAAAAAAGGGCATCTATTGCCTAAGACTAACAATATTTATCCTGCTATAAAAATAGATGTTAAATGGATAAGTTAAGGTTGCCAATGTTATTTCACGATAAATTCAGTTCTATTTTTGTTGTGGTAAACCTCATAGAAGCACATAAAGAATTAGCAGTGAAACCAAGAATTCTAACAAGGCCAGCTATTAGCAAAACAGTAAGCAGATAGTGGACTGGATACCAGATGATGGGAAAACAGACTCATGGACCTAAGAACAAGGGAAGAAGAGATGTAACACTGACAGAAAGGCAAAAGGTAGTCTCTGAAAAGTTCTTTGGACCTTTCCGTAGTCTCTCTTTTTTTCACTTCTTCCCCCTTTGTTTATTCCTTTTTTTTTTTTTTTCCTGGAATTGCATCAGTTTTTACAGCAGAAGGGCAAATTATCTGGTCCAACTCCTTTATACTTCAGATGAGGACGTGGAAGCTCATTGAGGTAAAGTGACTAACCCAGGGTCCCCACCAGTAGGAGCCCAAGTCAGCCTGTCAGCTTAGTGCTCCCGAATCTAAGTCCAGTGCCTTTTCAACAGCACAACACTGCATTGCTTTACAAAACCAAGTCCTACAACAGACCTGTGAGGTAAGATGACTTCCTCCTGGAGCTCAAACACAGAGTAGCTTAGATGGCAGTGGAAAGTCGTGGGATCCTTAAGCCTTTCGCTCCCACCTCTCTTGCTCTTTCAGGTCCTTTAGTGAATGGCCCTTTTTCTTCTTGTTTTCTTTTGCGTCAGATTCAAGTAGACCAGGAAATAACTTTCAGGGTTCTCTGTGACTCATCTAGGCTTTTGGATAAAAGAAAACCAAGATATTAACTTCAGACATTATAATTCCTTCCCTATATATTTCAAGAAGATAAATAACAGAAGGATTAAGAGACACAGAATTCTCCTAGCGTATATTTCATTGGCAAATATAAGGAAGTAGACATTCCTGAACTAATATATTAAGGGGACCAGGACTCTCTTCAAAAGGACATAGGTAATTCCAGGAAATGATGATTTGGAGAATCACTGGAGACTAGATGTCCAGAACTCACTGGACATCAGGTGAAAATAATCACAAAGTAGACAGAGGTTTTGCAAGGGCTGTTGGGTTTCGAGCACACAACCTGGAGGCAAGGGGACAGGCTTTTGGATAAAAGAAAGCCTATCTTTCTGGCCCTTTCTGGGCCTCTCTGCAAAGCACATAGACAGTGAAGTAAAACACCTGGAATTTTACTTTGACACCACTCTCACTCTCTGTGTAATCTTAGCTAATTCTTTACCAGAATCTGCAAAATTCTGCACATTTTAGATGCTGCCAAAATTTCCAACACCATATATCAATGATCCATGGAAAGATCATCTTTCTCCTAATGTAGCTCAATACTTTTAAATTTAAATAATAAACACGAATTACTAGAAAAATGCAGTGAAATAATAGGCACATATAATTGTATATTTTTAAATTATTTTATTCAAAAGATATACGATTACCGGCCTATTATACACTTATTCTCAATTATATACTTAATTTACTTCAGACTAATAGGGAACAGTTCTTGGAAGGAAAAGTATCCTCAGACTATTCTTTGAGTATCACTCCTCTAAAATACTAAGACTTTTCTGCATTAGAGCTTTCATATTTTTAATCCTTTTGCTAGAAGCCACTCCTCCCTTCTCTCTTTCATGGTTGACTTATTTTCTCCTGTCAGGTCTCTGATTAAACATTACCACCTCAGTGAAACCTTCCCTAACAAATTCCAAATAACTAGTCTCCTCTTGAACTTATTCTCTTTTATTGCATGCTGTATATTATTATTTCCTTACGGGTACATTCTCATGTCTTAATAGTATATCCTTATTTATTGATTCATTTGTTTCTCTGCCCCACTAGCCTGTAATCTCCATCAGAGTAACAAGGTCCTGTTTTGTTCACTATAATATAACCAGTGCTAATTACAATGCCAAGCATTTGAAAAATTATTAATAAATATTTATAAAAGGAATGAATGAATGAGCTTATTTCTATGACCCTTGGTTTGATCACTTGTAAGATAGAAATACTATCTTTCTCATAGATAATTGTGAGAATTAAATGTAATAACTTCTAGAAAGTCAAGTCCTTTCATCCCATGAACATCCATTTAAACATTTAAGAAATGCTCTCCATGTCCTACTTTCATCCCCAATCACATTTCTACTTCCAAAGTTTTCTATTTTACAACCTAAGTTTTCTCTTTTAAAATCTAAGTATTCTTTTCCCTGAGTGGTAAGACTATTCATTTTGAATTATTAATTAGCAATAACAGAATTTATAATTTTTAAATTACCTAATTACTAACCTGAATCCAGAATAATAATCCAAAGGACAGCATAGTTTTCTTTAGAGATTGTAGAATAAGTTGTTTTTTGCTTTTTAAAAATAATTAAGCTGATTTTGAATGACTTATTCGGCATCTAGTCCAAAAAGGTTTTTCCTTTCTCTAAAATAAAGTTCCTGTATCAAATATATCTCTATCTTCTCCCCATCCCAAAGGCCATGCTTTACTCACATATTTGCTGAAACAGAACCTTTTGGAATTCCTCTTAACTCTAGAATGCCTAAGGACCACCTGTGTACTGGTTAATTTGCAAATACCCAGGACATACCTAGAGATTCTGATTCTTTGTCTTTTCCTATGGTCTGGAAATATTCTTTTTTGGGGGGGGTTTCATCTATGAACCAAGGTTATGAGGGAACAAAACCTACGTGGTATATTTAAGACAAATAGAATAGAGGGTGAAGAAACTGTTTAGTGGAGAGAAGTGAGAACAGCCAAGTCATAGTAATGATGGGAGAAACCAGACGGAGCATCCATGAATCAGTGCTACTGGGCAACCCTGGGCAGCTTTGGATCTACTAACTTCATGTAGCTGCTCTTCCTGGCATCTAGCAGCTTAGTTTCCTGGAAACCCATTCAAGCACATCCTTACTGGCACTGTCCTCACTCTACCGTGACTTGCGCACTAACTTTAGTGAGTAATTGCTCCCACACTCCCACCCCAAGGAAAAAAAAAAAGACTAACCAAAACAGTTTCTCTTTTGGAAATAAATAAGATTACAATATCAAGAAGTCATTTTGGCCATCACAAGTTCATTTCAATACACGTAGGCTTTTGGTACATATATTTTCTGATTCTTTGCCCACACTGAGCTTATTTTCACTCCAAACTTCTCCCAAGATTTCTACTTAAATGACTTATACAGCAGGTTTTGTTCAATGTCATTTTATTACAAGGTTGGTGAGCAAAAGAAATTGATTCCCATCCAAGGCCATTGTCTGTGTGGAGTTTGCACATTCCATGTCTATGTGGGTGAGTCTTCTCCGAGTACTCCAGTTTCCTCCCATCCCAAAGATGTGCTATGTGTTAGGTGAATCGGCATGTCTAAATTGTCCCAGTCTGAGTGAGTGTTGGTGTGTGTGTGAGTGCACCCTGCAATGGGATAGCTCCTGTCTAGGGCTGGTTCCTACCTTGTGCCTGAGCTGCCTGCCAGGATACAGGCTCCAGCCACCCAAGTCCCTGAACTGGAGTCATTGGGTAAATAATTATTTATTTATGAAATATTTAATAATAAATAATAGTATTTATTATATTTATTTAATAATAAATAATAAATAGTGTTTTATTAATCTTTCTTAAATGTATGTACAGCTCATAGTTATTTTGATGTTTAATATTACAAGTGTTTTGGTCTTTATTTAGAAGTTCGGTGATGTTTTTGTGACTAGAAATATGCATGGGAACTTTTGTTGATATCAATTAGTCTATGGTGAAATTGGTTTCCTTGTAAGTCATTTAACTTAAAATTGCAGTTTTCAAGAACCTATTGACAATGTTAAGTGAGGATTTATTCTATGTGTTCTTATCCCTTCCAAATACTCCTGCCCATGTGTCCAAACAAATTCAGATAACTTCTGAAATCTTCTTCCTCAAAACTTCCCTAACTTACACAATCCCCATGTCTGTCCCTTCATTTACCTCTTTAAACTTCCCCCTCCTTCAACATTTGTACAGTTCATAAAAATATACATTACTAGACCCCGAAAGAACCTTAGATGTGGTAAGAACAGGAATTAACATTTATTGGAAACTTATTATGTTGCATTGGTGTGCTGGAGCCTTAAAAAATGGTTAAATTGTAGATAGCTTGAAATTGAGGATGGTAAGAATATTTACATCACAGCAGTTGGCAAAAGCTACTAATAAGCACTCCACTCCCTCTCCCCCATGCCAGTTCCTAGCATATCATTGGTTTTAGGCACTTTTCTAACCACTTACATGTATTCTCTTTTAAATTTTCACAACATTCCTATGAAATAGTTACAATTATTACCCCCATCTTACCAAATGAGGAAAGCAAGGCAAAGGGAGGTTAAATGGCTTGGCCAAAGGTAATCAGCTAATTTTTAGAGGTAAAACTTGACCATAATCACTGAATAATTGCCCACAGTTGCAAATAAAAATGATTGGAAAACTACCAATCTCATATGTTGTTTACAATAATCCAAGGTTAATGGTTAAAAACTTTTAACTCTTGAAGGCAGAGATATAGAAATAAAACATCATATTCAGTTTTTCAATTATTTCATGCAACGTTGGTAAAGATTAAAGGAATCTCAGTTAGACAGGAGTAATAAATTCAAAATATCTATCACACAACTTGGTGACTATAGTTAATAACAATGTATTGTACACTTGAAATTTACTGACAGTAGATTTTAAGTGTTCTCACTACACCAAAAAAATAAGTATGGGAGAGAATGCACATGTTAATTAGCTTGATTTAGACATTCTACAATGTATACATATATCTAAACATTATGTACACCATAAAAACATACAAGTTTTGTCAATTTAGAAAAATAAATAATAAAAATAATAAACAAAAACTAACAAGTGAATTTTAAAAATATTAAAAGAAAATAGTGTATACAAGTCCCAAAGGTATTTAATAAAAAATCTTTAAAGGACTTTCAAAATATAAGGCTAACACTTTTTCTTCATTGTATAAATGTGGGAGAAGTTTGGAGACTTTATAAACCAGTGACTGCAGACTCTTAGAACTAGGAGAACTGGCCACTGATCATGAAATTCTATCTAGTTTGTCTACTGAGAAAAGCAAGAGACTCTTATGATAGTCTCCCATTCATAGATGCTTCCATAACTGTCTCTCATGAAATGTAGGATTTAACACTGAAGTTGTGATTTTTGCCAATTTTGATATGCATGTTTGTATTACAAAATCTCATTTGTTCTCTACTTACTAGAGTAGATTATGTTTTTTTTACATATGATTGTTTTAAGAGACTAAATTAATTCATGAAAATTGTACTGAACACACGGAGACTTTGATTTCTTTATTTTCTGATATTTTTAACTATTTTTCTACCTGATATATTTTTTCAAATATATATTTTTTATCTATTTAAAAAAACTGTTAGTGGATGAATCGCTCTACTGCAAATGGGCTGTTGGAATCAATTTGGGTATATAAATAAGGATTTCAATGAATTCTGAGAATGATATGGAAAATATCGGGGCTTCTAAAATCTATAATTGCCTTATAACATGATTCTGAAAGTAATAGAAAGAAATTTCCATTTTAATGAGTTTATGCCTACTATCACCATACACAGTGCTACTATAATTTTCCCACTTGGATCTTCCACAGAGAATGTAGTAAACTTGCTTATAACTAAGAGATTAAAGGAAGTCAGAATTACTTCCCTCTGTGAGGGTGTGGGAGTAGAAAGAAGCAA